CTTCCAGTGTTGGAGCATTCACAACTTCTGGAGGCAGGTTGTTCCATTGATTAATTGTTCTCACTGTCAGAAAATTTCTCCTTAGTTCTAGCTTGCTTTTCTCCTTGGTTAGTTTTCAATTCCTGCAATTGTTCTTTATATCTTTTAGCCTCCAGTCCCCTGACCATCTTTGTTGCTCTTCTCTGCACCCTTTCCAGAATCTCAGCATCTTTTTATATGTGTTGTAGTGTTACTACTACTACTACTACTACTACTACTACTACTACTACTACTACCACCACTACCACCACTACAGACACCTTTTTCAACTTTATGAAGATTTACATTCTTAAAATTAGACTGTGAGATCTTGTACACCACCCATCTCACGGGATATGGCCCACTCTTTATTATGCAGTTTGAATTTTAAGTCACTTCAGATAAGAAGCTCTAGAAATCTATACAGTATGAATATACAAAATAGTTCCAAATGTTTTTTTTCCTTAATCCCCTTCCCTTCCTATAGTTCAGCTGAACCCTCTGGAAATACACGATATCATAACAAATAACATAATTTTGGCACATCAGGGAAAGAGCCTTCAGGGGTAGAATGGTATTTATTTTTACAGAATGACATAAACCATCTGGGGAAAATATAACCCCCCCCCACACACACACACAGAGACACTATACTGAAGTGAGGCACCCTAAAATCTCTTGATTCCAGAGATTTTATTGCAAGATGATATCTTAAGACACTGTTGGGGTATCAATTACATTCAGGACCTATGAAGGCTACTAAGCAAACTATCTTTCAAGCTTGGTCTCCATTAAATAAAGTCTGCAAATGAATATTGTGTTTGATATGAGAATGTTGGGCCACAAAGTTTGGAATGGAAAAAGATTGGCTTTTTCTAGATCTGTGCAAGATGGCTTAAGTTTGCCTCAATGTCAACTTCTGCTCATGGTGATACCACCTTCTCAAGATGAACAGGAAATATGGACTTGTTACTTCTGTGAAAGAAAAGTGCTCCTGTGCATAAGTGGCACGTGCATAGAAGTCTCTAGTAGCATTTAATTTATCAGAAATATCAAAGGGGCTCCTCATATGAGAGATGATTCTTCTTGTCATCTAGGGGTGATTCTCAATCATCTAGGTTATGATTATCTCAAAGGAGCTTTTCCCAAAAGGCAACTGGGCTTTCTTGGGTTTTTTTCTTTGAAAATGTTTCAAAAAGTTCTCAAGATGTTTCTTGGATGAGAAGTGAAAGATTTTCAATCAAAAAACCAAGAATGTCCAGTTGTCTTTTGGGAAAAAAGGATCTTTGGGGCCTCTTCCTGTTGGAAGACCTACCTAGGAGATTGCGAGACAACGTGATACAAAGTCATTTGGCTGTTTCATTTTTAAAGGTGTTGTTTCATGGATCTAATTTCATGGTCCAGCTGACTTGCCATCATATCAAATCACCCCATTAAAGACTGTGGAGGTCTTATAGTCCAACTCTCTGCTCAAGCAGGAAACTCTATACCATTTCAGACAAATGGTTATCCAGTCTCTTCTTTAAAAACCCAGAGCTGAGCACCCACAATTGTGTTCCATTGGTTCATTGTCCTCACTGTTAGAAAGTTTCTCCTTAATTCCAGGTTGCTTCTCTCCTTGATTAGTTTCCATCCATTGCTTCTTGTGAAGGGAAGACAGGCATAGACTAAGACTAATATCTCATTAAAGCATGGGTGTGTGCATGTGTGTGTGAAATGAAACCATTTGGCCTTCTGCAACGTGAAAACAAAGGACTCCATGAAAACAAAGAAGGGTTCCATTCTGCATTAACTCTGGTGGAAGCCCTTTACTTCTTGTTAGAACTAAATCCCCAGTGAGAAGCTGATAACAAAGCAGTTCTGGTGGCTTGCAGATAACCATGACATCACCCTTTTCAATTCTAGCTCTGGGGAGTTTTCATGGGGAATGACATCATTCAAAATGGTAGCCCCTGGTCTTAGAGGCAAAGAGTCTCGGGAACCTGGAAGCCTCAGGGAAGTCCCTAGCAAAAACAGAAGAAGTCTGATAGGTCCACCTTGCATCTCCAGAAACACAGTGACCGAAGCCCAGCTATGCCCTGAAAGGTAGAAAGCTGCAGTTCAGATGTACCCACTGCCATTGAAGCAAGGTTTAAAATCTGGGTAAAGATCGTGTTGATAGGTGCTTCACTGTGCTTTGCTTTTTATCAGCCCTTCTAACTAGGCAGAGAATTTCTCTCTCTCTCTCTCTCTCTCTCTCTCTCTCTCTCTCTCCTCAAATCTCTCTGGGCAGATCTTTCTTCCATCTTTCCATGCAGCGTTGCAAAGATATAAAATTGACTGCACCCATATGGAAGCTTTCCTCCTGATCGGACCGTATCCATTGCCGGCTTTCTCTCCGGCAGGCCAATTACAACAGTCACGCTCCCTCCTTCCAGCTCAGAAGAGTTTGGAGCCCCCCCTCCCTCAACAGACACCCCCCCCCCCAGCTTTGCACAGAGGCACTTTGGAGACACACTGAATGCTTCCACCCCAGACAAAGGGACACACCCTGCAGGCTGCCTCCCAGACAAACATTTAAAACAAGTGCCTCTGATTAAAAGATTAAAAAAGATTTATTTATTTTTTTAAAAAAACCTGTAAGCTACAGGTACACAAGGCTCAGCGAGTCTTTTTTTTTTTTTAACAAAAAAGAAGAAATAAAAGTATTTTTTTTTCTTCATCGTTACTGCAGTAAAGAATAGAATTCTGACGTTTCCTTTAGGGTTTAAAAAAAAAACAAAAAGCACCTTCTAGTGCAAATGTCCAAATCGTTGATGACATCAGCATTTTATTTAATTCCCCGCTGTTGTTTTGGCTAATCTTGCAAGCTTTAAGGCAAGCTGCATTTAGCTTTGTAGCCTCTCCGTATGCACCAACGGTGCTCTTCGTGCCTGTCAGCCGGTGAGGGACGGATACCCAGAGAAAAAGTGCAGAAATGTAACAGATCCCATTCACACCCATCGAAGCATTTCTGCAGGAGACAGCGCACGGCTTCATCTGGACACACCCACTGCAAAATATCTGCTCAAAGCTCTGGCACTCACCAAGAATTGGAGGAAGAACTGCTTCGCTACGTAAGGCATAGAAATGATGCTTAAACACTAAGGCTCCATAGAAGGTGGTACCAACATGGGTTTGAGGACATTCTTAAAGCAAACGTCCAACCTTCTGCGGTCTTGAGACTCAGAGATATTGCAAAAAATATAATAGACCTAATCTAGAAGGTCAGGTAATGTAGCCTGTCTAGAAACTCACATCCGGCAAAGATATTGCAGACAGGATCACTTAGATACACAGATGCTCTTAAGGGAGAGAGATAAGTCTCCTAAATGCAATTCATGGGTCCACAGATGGGTACCCATATCTCCTCCTTAGGCAAGTCAACTAATGGTCCACCGGGACTCCTCTTTGCAGGCCCACTGGAATGCCTGTCACCACAGAGAGGCGGAAAACATACGAGACATGACACCCGCCCACCCGGTGAAATGAGCAGGCATCCCACTTCCAGAGCAAGTTATGGAAACATGTGCACAAACACACCCACCATCTGGACTGAGATTGTTCAATTACATGCCTCCCTAGATCCGCATCCACGCTGCATGCCCAACCATGTATTTTAAGCTGCAGGGTAGGAAATCCATATTTAAAATACAGTGGATTAGAACTTCTAATCTTCTAACAAGGTTTTATCTCTTCCTCATGCTGCAGGGATCACAATTAGATGGCAGGGCCGCTGAGGGGAATGCAAGAAATCACCATCTATTTAACGGATTTCAGAGGGGTTGGAAAAAGCCTCTATCTAAGAAAGTCACAGCCAGAATGCACCATTATAAATGAGATCCTTTCTGATGTACAAGATGACAACCCCCATAATCCCCAGCCATCTCCCCTGTGCCATCTGAGATTTATAGGAGTCAGCTTGAGAAGACGGGGCTGGACAGCCACAGTGTACAATTTTAGGGGTTATGGATCACACTTGATTCTTATGTGCAGTCAAATCCAAAAATAAGATGCGGTTGAAATTGCTTTGATTAGAATGAGATTGAATTATACATGGGTGGCACGAATCCTCCCCAGGATTTAATAGCTTCCACAAACTATCACATTACAAATTAAAATGGGGTGACAGCGTCTTGGTGACAGCAGTGGGTCACCTCAAAATGTCTAGATACTTGCAGTGGATCTAGAACAGTGGTTCTCAACCTTTTTAATGCCGCGACCCCCAACCGGTCGTAAGTCGAGGACTACTCAACTGGTGCAGCACCGTTTGCAGAATGGGACTTTTGGTGGGCTCAGCAGGCAGAGACAGCCTGGACTATTCCTATTGGCTTTTGAAAGCCAATAGAATTAGACTCTATTCAAGAGAGTCTATTCTATTGGCTTTCAAAAGCCAATAGAAAAAAATGGCGGACTGCGTTGTTTGGCAACCCCCGTGAAATGGTCGTTCAACCCCAAATGGGGTCCCGACCCACAGGTTGAGAACCACTGATCTAGAACAAGGAGGTCCCCAATGATATGGATCAGTGTTTCTCAACTGTGGCAACTTGAAGATGTGTGAACTTCAATTCCCAGAATTCCCCAGCCTTCTTCTTTCCATTCCTTCTAGCTTTCCCAGTGTTCAGAGCCTTTCCCAGATATTACATAATGTTGGGTAATCAAGATGGGTATTCTCAGCAATGTTGAGAGGCGTGGACTTCAGCTCCAGCATGCTGGCTAGGGAATTCTGGGAGTTGAAGTCCGCGCCTCTTCAGGTTGCCAAAACCGAGGAACACTGAGGTAGAGTATGATATCCATCCATCTGAGGATGAAAGATGAGCTCTGACATACTTTTGGACAACCGCTCCAAAAGTACAGTAAATTATTCCCACTACTGGAACGTGGGACATTCCAGGTGTTCCTCAGCAGGAAATCCTCTTCTTCCCACCCTTCCTGCAGCTACCCTACAACGCTCTCCTTCTTACCTTCTTCCAGTTCATCCATGCTGCCAATCTTTCTGCCGCCATCGATGGTGTAAATGTAGCGAACTCCTTGAGGCAGATTAATGTTATCAGACAGAGACCGGGTCAGGTCGGCAAGCAAGGCATCAAAGCTTCGGAAGCGGTCACCGGAGACAGCATAAACAATCCCCTTGAAATAGCGGTCCCCATTGCGGTAGAAGCGCACTTTCTTCGCCTTCTTCTCGTTGCTCAGTGCCTGTAAGGTCCTGGTGCGGTAGAAACTACAGTGGGCGCTGTGAGTGGGACTTGGCAGGCCATTCATTCGGGAGCCACGCATGTTTCTGGACGCCTTGTCTCTTTCGTCAAAGTGTCCAAAATCAAGTTCCATTGCTTGGTGACCCCTAAAGATGTGAAGCTGAGGCAGAAGGAGGAGGGAAAGAATGGAAGCAAAGGAGAAACAAAACAAAAATTAATAATAATGCAATGGGACAACACAGCCTTTGAGGGGGGGAAGCTGATGATACAAATCTTGGATTTGGGGAAAGAAAGAGAGAGAGAGAGAGAGAGAGAGGGAGGGAGGGAGGGAGGGAGGGAGGGAGGAAGTAAAAAAGAAAGAAAGAAAGAGAGAGAGAGAGAGAGAAAGAGGAAGAAAGAAAGAAAGAAAGAAAGAAAGAAAGAAAGAAAGAAGAGAGGGAGAGGGAGGGAGGGAGGAAGGAAGGAAGTAAAAAGAAAGAGAGAGAGAGAGAGAAAGAAAGAAAGAAAGAAAGAAGAGAGAGGGGGAAGTAAGAAGGGAGGGAGGGAGGAAAGAAAGACAGAAAGAAAGAAAGAAAGAAAGAGGGAGGGAGGGAAGGAGGGAAGGAAGGAAAGAAAGAAAGAAAGAAAGAAAGAAAGAAAGAAAGAAAGAAAGAAGAGAGGGAAGGAAGAAGGGAGGGAGGGAGGAAAGAAAGACAGAAAAAAAGAAAGAAAGAAAGAAGAGAGAGAGGGAAGGAAGAAGGGAAGAAGGGAGGAAAGAAATACAGAAAGAAAGAAAGAAAGAAAGAAAGAAAGAAGAGAGAGAGGGAAGGAAGAAGGGAAGGAGGGAGGAAAAAAGAAAGAAAGAAAGAAAGAAAGAAAGAAGAGAGAGAGGGAAGGAAGAAGGGAAGAAGGGAGGAAAGAAAGAAAGAAAGAAAGAAAGAAAGAAAGAAAGAAAGAAAGAAAGAAAGAAAGAAAGAAAGAAAGAAAGAAAGAAATAGAACACCTGGGTTTTTCTTCTCCTGGAAGGCTACCAGAGAAGATTTTTCCATATGTGCAGGAGTAAACTGCTGGGAGCATCGGAGAGGGAAGGAGGCTTCTACGCAATACAATTAATCAAGACCAATTATTTCTAAGAATTATTTTCATCCCCCCTCCCTCCCCACCTTTCGGGATGACTCTCTTTCCCAAACAGCTTATAAGCAAAAAGAGAAAGGAAGCGGGGGGGGGGCAGCCAGGAAAGAGCATTTCATTGAGCCTCGTGGACTCTCTACAGAAATCAGTTCTGCATATCAAGATCAGGCAAACCCTTTTATGGACACCGTTGGAAGAGGGATCTGCGGAACAGCTGTAAGGAGTGAGCAGAAGTTCACTGCAGTTGAGATGGGGCTGTGGATTGCTGGGGGGGGGGAAGAGGAGGGGAGGGGGGAGAGAAAGGAAAGAAGATCCACCTTCCATGAATGGGTGGAAACGTGGAAGGGACCATGCCCAGGAGTTACCCAGCCGACAAACCAAAGAACCGTTTCATCATCCGTAATGGATTCAGTGTTGCCAAGGGTGACTGGAGTGACCAAGCTGGGGAGCCCCTCTTAAACGGGGGGGGGTGGTGGTGATGGATGGGAATCACCAGTAAGTCTTTCCTCTGGTCAATACAGCAACAATGCCATTTTCTTTGTGAGCAGCTGGTTTCAGAAGCTGGCCAGCCCCCCCCCTCTCCCCCAGTCCATCCCTTGGCTTATACATCCCTCTGTAAGCCATCAATCACTTTTGAGGGTTATTCCCCACCGCCCAGGAGAGAACATGGAAGGGTGGAAGGAGTTAATATGGAAACAGCAGCGAGGAAGTTAATATTGAAGCACAATATTGTTTCCCCTTGGAATGCAAGGCGAGGGTCAGTTAATCAGGAAGCCTTTTGACATTTCCCTTTCCCCCCCCCCTCCTCCTCACCAGTAAAATGAAGCAATTTTTAATTGCCGGAGCCACCTCTTAGCTGTATCTCTGTCACACCCCTGCAAGTGGCACCTTTCATTGTTCCGAGCCAGAGCACGGCTGTAGCAAAAAGAGGCAGGCAAGGAGAGCCTTTGCTTAATTGGCAGCAAGGTCAACATCCTAAGGATCTCCTCCTTTTGCAGTTTAAAACTTGGCATGCAAACCCAAGCTCTGAGCATAATGGGAGAAAAAAGGAGAGAAAAAAGCGTGCTCTGGCTATCATTCGCTTTGGAGACCATTAGCATGCATGTCACCTCTCTACCAGAGAAACGGGGCGAAACATGACATTTGCAATCAGGTACAAATCTCCAACAAAAGTAATTGCTTTCCGACCACTTCCTTTCAGTCCTGGCCTGGTCCCAACCCACCATTCGTTTCCTACAGTGTGACAGTGACCGGTTCCTGACCTTCGTATTGTCAACATGAGCTGCAGAGGGGAGTTTTCCAGCCTCTCTTCCTTCCGTCAAGTTGCAGACTCCGGTTCCTGCCTGCTCCTTCCTTAGGAAAGTCTGCACGTACAATGGAACTGCACTCAAAGCCCAACTTTTTCCGAAAAAGGAAAAGGCGAAACCAAACGACTAAGAAGGTATCTGTTTGGCACCTTACTTGCCCTGCTTGGGAAATTCAAGCTTTACTTACCTTTTTTTTTTTTTTTTTTTTTCAGCTCACAGGGCGGAGATGCTGAGAGAAAGAAACCCAGCTACACTCTGCCTTTGTTGTCTGTGCTCCAAGGAAGAAATTCCTGCCACTTTGGCCAAGATGCCTGCTAGGTCCTAGTGCCTTTTGCATACATGGGCTTGCACGCCCCTGCACACAGAGAGAGAGAGAGAGACCTGCAGACCTCTTGGCTTGGCTTGGCTTCACGCTCAGGACCAATTTCCTGGTAAAGATCCCCTTCCCGCTTTTTAAAAGAGAAAAGGGAGCCAGATTCGGGATTCCAGTTTTCACAGCAGGCCACAAAGAGTGGGACGAGCCATATTTTCGGAGGCGTTGTCTATGCCTTTCCAAGGGAAACCTCCCATTGTCTACAGTTCCTCTAATGCTCTTCCCAGCCCAGCTGAAAACAGACATGGTTTGATTTATGACACGGCATTAGGCTTCAGCACAGGCACCACAACAGTGAGGGTGTACTAGCTAGATGCCTATGAAAGTCTCAGCTGCCTTGTGGATGCAATTGGGGTGAGGTTTTAAGCAAGCACGGTGGTGTAAATTGAGGCATCCTTCTTATGATCACACACCATGTTTCTCCAAACCCCTGAATCTAAAGATAAGGCACACTGAGAGGCTTAACCAGGACCCTGATTCACAAGGAACGATTAGAGTTCAACCTCGGGCTACCTGTACACCTATGCATATTTTAGAATGATGTCATTCTGACTTGGATTCCAGATGCCCTAAACTGCAACCATAAGGAAAAAGAGTCTGGAGATGATTCTGCTCTTAGGCCCCCCCTTAGTTCTTTATCATGGAATAAAGGCAGAATCTCTCCATTAGTACAGCTAGTCCTCAAGCTGAAACCACAATTCAGCCCAAAATTCCTGTTGTGAAGTCAGACATGGGTTAAGTGGGTTTTGCCCCATTTTACGGCCTTTCTTGCCTCAGGCGTTAAGTGAATCACCTCAGTTGGTAAGTTAATACCCTGCTTATTAAATGAATCTGTCTTCCCTTTTGATTTTGCTTGCAAAAAGTGATCACGTGACCTTGGGGCACAACAACGGTCATAAATATGAATCAGTTGCGAAGCATCTGAATTTTGATCACATGACCCTGGGGACGCTGCAAAGGTCAAAGTCCCATTTTTCAGTGCCGTCGTAACTTCGAAGGGTTACTAAGCGAACTGTTGTAAGTTGAGGACTATCTGTATTGCAATTGTCATTGCAGGATAGGGCTGCCTATGAAAAATGGATAGAGCTTCCATCACACCGATGCAGCTGTCATCTTGACTGTTTTGATCGAGAAACCCCCGTTCAAAGAAAAACAGGTCCGTTCTGCTCCTCTGTGCTCCTTATTCTGATGCAGCTGAGATGAAGTAGCTCTGATCTTCCCATTCAAATACTTCTGCTACCAGCTAAGGTAATCAGGAGAAGGCACAAGGGTATCAAAATGATGACACATGTCACACACTTCTCTGCACATGGTCAATTAAACAATTGCACCTTGACGTCTGATGCAAGTCCTGTCACTGACGAAGCCTGGGTGTCTTCAGCAAAACACAATGATGTCAAAATGATGAAATGTACATGAGGGCATGGTCACCAAAATGCCAGCCAGCTTCAAAGGCACGATCTGCTTCAAATGCACGATCACTGCCCTTGCCTGCTAATTCCATTTTCAATTCTTTGTTTTATTTATTACAGCTTTTCGCCAGCAAATAAGTCAAAAAGGGAAGGAAAGAGTCAAAACAGAAATGTACAACTAAGCATATATAGCAATCCCTTAAATCGTATTATGGATCCCTTGCTGAAGCCTTGATGCCAAATAAGAAAACTTTGGAACATTTTATGTTTGCACAAAGAGCATTGTTAGGGAGCAAGTAAATCAACGCCAAAACTGACTGATTGTCTGTGGATTGTCGCTAGAAGGGGAAAAACAAGATTTCAATGCAATCTGGTATAAATATGCAACACAGAAGAACATGCATTGGTGACTGACAATAACTGGGCAGTTGGTTCAGCTCCATCTGGAATAACTGCTGGTCCATTGGATTCATAGCTTGAGACCAACCAAGATTAAAGAAAACACTTTGAAAAGGGGCACATAAAAGTGCTTTCAGAAGTTGTGGGTGCTTCATTACTGGAGGTTTTTAAGAGGAGACTGAATAGTCACTTGTCTCAAATTGTATGGAGTTGGACTAGAAGACTTCCAAGATCCCTTCCAGCTTCATTCTCTGATTGACTGAGCTTTTGCTTCAGAGACGTCTCCCAAATAGATTGGAAAGCATCAGTGACAGCCAAGTAGAGAAGCTCATGAGACTGATAGATGCATTTAAGCCAACAATGATATCACCACACACATTTCATTATATGCTCACACCCGTGTGTCCCTCTGGCTCTCTGCTCTTTCCCTTCCAAATCTGAGATGGAAGTAATGGGGTCTGCATGTAGCCTTTAGATTTGCATCTAGATCAGGCCCCCGCTTAAGTGGGGACAGGTGATTGTCCAGTCTCTTCTTAAAGATCTCCAGGGATGGGACGTCCACGATTTCTGGAGGCAAGCTATTCCACTGGTTGATTGTCCTCACTGTCAGGAAGTTTCTCCTTAATTCCGGGTTGCTTTTCTCTTTTTGGTCAGTTTCCAACCATTGTTTCTCGTCCTTCCCTCTGGTGCTCTGGTGAACAACCTGACCCCCTCTTCTTTGTGGCCGCTCCTCAGATACTGGAACACTACCATCATGTCTCCCCTATTTCTTCTTTTCTTTAGACTGGCTAAACCCAAGTCTTGCAGCCATTCTTCATATGTTTTGGTCTCCAGGCCTTTGATCATCCTAGCTGGTCTTCTCTGAGTTTTTTCCAAACTCTCAACATCTTTTTTGTGACATGGTGACCAGAATTGGCTGCAGTATTCCAGGTGTGGTTTTACTAAGGCTTTGTAAAGCGGTACTAGTACTTCACGTGATCAATCAAAAGAATTCTTCTTTTCCAGAATCTTACCCAGTCTGGAAATCGCTCGACTGGAAAGATGGTTAAAATCTCACAAGAAAAGAAAAAAAAACCTCTGTTCTTTGGCTTGGATGGACATCAAAATGTAAAATAATCTCAACTGATTACTGAGGCCAAACTTGGGGGAAATAGAGCAATGGTGAGATTAACACTATACATTCAGAACAGAAATTGAACTGAAATTAAGCAAGAACAGCTTTCCTCTAACTTAGGGAGTTCCCAAACTATGAGGTATCCCTCTTTGGGGAGATGCAGAGGAAGTCCAAGTAGGTGTGTGTGTACGTGTGTGTGTGTCTGTGAAGAACCCTTTGTGTACACTGTTACATTAAATTCACTTCTCTCCAAGTTTCATTGTCTTGTTTTCATTGTTCATTTGTCTTCATTTCAATGTCTGGATTTTGGGGGAGCTTTTTACAAAACAATCACACTAAGGCAGGGGTGGGCAATTAATTTTCCCAAGGGGCCACATGAAAAATTGGGACTGTTGTGAAAGGCTGTACCTATAGAGCTGTGAAGGTGCAAAGGTGCGTGCGCACACACAAATGCACATGCATAAATCAATAAAAAATGGCAGTCACTTTCAAAATTAAAGCAAGGCAGTTGTATTGCCTGCATGGTGTAGATTTATTTACATTTGATTTCTAATTTCTGATTGACCTCACATGGGCTGGACAGGGTCAGTCAAACAGCCAGATGAAGCCCGGAGGCTGTAAAATACTCCAGTCTGCATTAAAGAGAGGTATCATGGCCAAAAAGTTTAGGAACCACCTACTCTATATCGTATGTCACACAACAAGGCAGACACTTAAGTTCAGATTCTAAGGCAGAAGTAATTGGCATAACTTAACAGTAATTACAAGGAATTTCAGTAGTTATAAATATATCAGTAGCATCATCAGTCAGCAACAATAGGAGGAAATTTAAAAATATGTAGTTTCCTGTTTTTTAAATATTTTATTTTAATTTATGGGGTACCACTATTTGGGAAACAGCGACAAACATGGAGAGATCAACTCTGATATCCCGTTTAGAGCTTTACAGAAACTTTCTGTCCTTTCTTCAGATGACATAATGAACTATTATGCTTTTAAGCAATTAACTTTACATTTAATGATCACGGTAATCCTTTGTTTACTTTCTGAAGTATTATTTTTTTATCCACTAAAAATAATGGATGTCTACTTTTGGCGACAGTTAAGGCCAACGTTTCTGTTGCTAAGCGAGACAATTGTTAAGTGAGTTTTGCCCCCTTCTACGACCTTTCTTCTCCCAGTTCTTAAGTGAATCACTGCAGTTGTTAAGCTTGACAAAAGGTGATTGCATGATCCCGGGACATGGCAACTGTAATAACTACATACCAGTTGCCAAGCACCCAAATTTTGACTGCACGACCATAGGGATTCTGCAACGATTGTGAATGTGAAAAACAGTCATATGTCACTTTTTGCAGTGCTTTTGTAACTTTGAATGGTCCTGTCGAAGGAGAAGTCTTCATTGTGGTTCAGTCCAAGCCGGGGATAAACAACATGGCGACTGCTTTAGAAAGAAGGTTACAGTTTATTGAAGAGGAGAGCCAGACAGAAAGACAGCTCTGGAAAAAAGAGAGAGAGCACATGTAGGGAGTGGGTTTTTATACCTTCTTGAGCCTTTTGTTTGGAGTCGTTCCTGTGGCATGAACTTTGACCTGAGTCTGAGTGTGCCTTTATGGTATTCTGATGGTGGTGGGTTAATCCTATTATGTCCCGAGGGTCATATCCTGCTTCCCTGGGGCTGTGGCTGATGACTCTTAGATTTTTGGTGTTGATTCTAGGGATCTTTCTTCCTGACTACAGTCTTTCTGACAAGATTATCAGCTGCATTTTGCAAACTTGGTTTCTGTTTGGAACTGAGAGACTTGGGGGGGGGGTTGGTTTCTGCCTTTAAGATCCTTTAGGGAAATATATTCTGCCTTTTAAATATTTGCAAGATTATTTTTTTCTCTGGGGGAGGGGGCTGACTTCCCACAGTCCCTAAGCAAATGGTTATAAGTAAGGTCTAACTCTCATCACAGAGTCCATAAACACCCATGTATATGCATGAAAGACTTCGGTCAGAGAATCCAAGTTGACGCTGTCAATCAATGTACTTACATAGACAGGGCTGGGTCTAAAATCTGTCTAGGCAGATTGCTATATAAAGAAGAACATAGCTTAGTGATAAGAGTCTCTATATGCTGACAATCTTGGCCATCTCTGAGTCAGGATGCAAAAGACCCTTGCCTAAAGCCACAGCATCCACCAGCTTGCGTTGGCAAAACTAAACTAAATTTTCAGTTTCGGTATTGAAACTATCCTATTACTTGTAGATTCATTTCACAAAGCCACAGTCTGACAAATCCATCAATCAAAACTTGAGCTTGTCCAGACATGAATCTAGCTACCAGGCTGTGCAAACCCTAAATAATATACCCAGAGCTCCATCTCTCTGGAGTGAGGTAGCTAAATAACTATAATTAATTAGTGTCCCTTCCCTCTTCTTTCTTTCGACCTTATACTCAATACTTGTTCAAAGAACATGTCTGGATGTCATATGAGAAAGAAGAAAATTTCTGCATGGCGGATACCGACGTGGGGACTTGCATCTGTTCCATCTAGTCTAAATGCGCGATAGTCTAAGTATAGAATTTAGCCCCAAGAAGCTAAAAGATCCTGCTTTTCCATATTTTTCCACAATTCAGAATGACATCCAGACATGTCTTCTGAAGAAATATTGAGTCTAAGATTGAAAGAAAGGCGACAGGACATTTATTAATTTATGTAAATACATCACTCCAAAGAAACGCAACTCTGGGTATATTATTCCGGGCTGCATAGCCTGGCAGTTAGACTAATGTCTAGAAATTCTTAAGGTTTGATCAGTAGATTTGAATTTATGGAGCAAATGGACAGCAAGAAAATATCTCGGTTTGTGCCTGTTTTCTGAATGACATTCACTCTGAAAGAAACACTCTTTGCCCTGTGTTTTAAAACTCTAGTAATTAGATAATTATGAGTGAGAAGCAGTTACAATGTGCTTGGAATAGTGAGGGGGGTTTTTTTCAGTGCCCTTGCTGAAAGCAGAGACATCACCCTGCCCACAAAAGTGTGTATAGTCCAGGCCATGGTTTTCCCAGTTGCCATGTATGGCTGTGAAAGTTGGACCATAAGAAAGGTTAGCACCAAAGAATTGAGGCCTTTGAACTATGGTGCTGGAGAAGACTCCTGCGAGTCCCCTGGACTGCAAGGCAATCAAACCAGTCAGTCCTAGAGGAGATCAACCCCGACTATTCTTTAGAAGGCTAGATCCTGAAGTTGAAACTCAAGTACTTTGACTACCTAATGAGAAGGAAGGACTCACTGGAGAAGAGCCTGATGCTGGGAAAGATGGAGGGCAAGAGAAGAAGGGGACGACAGAGAATGAGGTGGCTGCATGGAGTCACTGAAGCAGGAGGCGTGAGCTTAAATGGATTCCAAAAGATGGTAGAGGACAGGAAGGCCCTGAGAAACCTTGTCCATGGGGTCGCGATGGGTCAGACACAACTTCGCAGCTAACAACAACAACAACATTTTTAAAAGAGTTTTGAGCCAAATGTGGAAAACCTCATTCTGCAAATTTCCAATGTACACAGTTTGAAATTTGGAGGGTAAGAAGTAACCAATTGGTTGAATGCCAATTGATAGTAACTACAACACTACCCAAATGCAAATATAACTATAAGCATCCACGGCATAACGACGGGAGCAAATGATAAGAACCGGTTTCATCCAGTGGTTAAGGCTGGAAACTAGGCGACCGTGAGTTCTAGTCTCACCTTAGGCATGAAAGCCAGCTGGATGATTTTGGGCCAATCACCCACTCTCAGCCCAACTCAACTCACTGGGTGATTGTTGTGGAGAAAAGAGGAGGGGGAATTCAATTCATTTTTTTAATCAAGCTAAATTTTATTAGTTAGCTAGCCAATTCAATTCAGAATAGAGCTGGAAGGGAACTTGGAGGTCATCTAGTCCAGCTCCCCACTCAAGCAGGAGACCCTATACCATTTCAGACAAATGGCTGTCAAATCTCTTGTTAAAAACCTCCAGTGATGTAGCAGCCACAACTTCTGGATGCAAGCCATTCCACTGATTAATTGTCCTGACTGTCAAGAATTTTCTCCTGAGTTCTAGGTTGCTCCTCTCCTTGATTAGTTTCCATCCCTTGTTTCTTGTCCTGCCCTCTGGGGCTTTGGAAAATAAGTTGAACCTCCTTCTTCTTTGTGGCAGCCCCTCAAATAGCATCAGACATATTTGCCACTTTGAGTTATTTATAAAAATAATAAAAGCAGGATAAAAAAATCTAATAAGAAAACATAAATAAATAAGGTGGCCGTGACTCATTTACTGGCATTGGGTGTTATCTTCACATCAGCGTGACGTCATTATACACATAGCAATAGCAACAGCACTTAGACTTATATACCGCTTCACAGTGCTTTACAGCCCTCTCTAAGCAGTTTAGAGTCAGCATATTTGCCCCCAACAAGGTACTTTTATTGACCTCGGAAGAACGGAAGGCTGAGTCAAC